ACCACCCAGGGGAGGGATAAAAAAGAAGAGAGATTGAAGAATAGAGAGATGTGCGTTGAGAGAAAAAGTGAGGAAAATGGTTTTTTCAGAAAAATAGAGCCTGAGGGCCGAGTGATGTGAGAATCACAAATGAGAAAGGGTGGGAACCAATACCCGAAGAAACTGGCTCCTCGCGAACTGAGAGGTCTCTCGCCTTTGTAATACGACTGAGTATCGTGTTTGTTGTTTTGTTTGTCTCGATTCTTGTTTTAAGTCATTTCGAGTGTTTCTCGATGTGTTTAGGTTGTTTACCTTTATTTTTCGTTGTTGAGTCTTTTTTGCTGTGGTCAGCCGTAGGCCCAATACCCAGTTAAGAACTCATTTCTCATTTCAAAATGAATCGTTTTGTGCTCAGGAGTGCTGTGCTGTTCTCCACATTTGTGCAAAACAGAATTCGTTCTTTCATAAACTGCAGGGTCCAACCCAGGTCAAAAGAGAGAGCAATAGGTTCTAGACTGCAAAGCAAAAGAAAAGAGGAAAAATTGGACCATCTGAGTTTGTTTCAACTTCAGAAAATTCCGAGATTACATTCCAGATGCACCTGCTCAGGCCTTGTCATTTCTCCAAAGTATGAATGTACCTCGACCTCAAGCTCAAGCCTGCTTCAATTCAAAATAGCGATTAAAGTTCTCTCCCTGAACACCATTCCTCATCAGAGGCGTCTTAGTTGTGTTTGTAATGAGTTCCTAGGAGACCAACTGCGACGGTGGAAACTAGAGTTCGAATGGTGATGCCTAGAACAAAAAGGTTTGGAATTTTCGAGACTAAAGTCTGGTTTAAATACCCAGGGGTGTATCCCCAGCTTGAAATCTGTATGGTAGCCCCATAAGTTGAGGTAGCATATATACGCCTCAATTCTGGATACTAAACCCACCTAGTCTGTCACCCCGTTGGAAAATAAGGAAAGTTATGAATATGATCAAGAAGAAAAGCGGCATCTGTGGCTTCTACATGCAGAGGTTACCCCTTGTCAGCATTTGAGGGCCTTTGAACTGTAAGTTAAAGGTAAGAGTTCGAAGAATATAAGAGGGAGATCCCTGTCAGAGTAGAGCAGTTCATCGCCACTCGCCCCATGAGATGCTTTCTAAAGTGCTACTTTGCTTGTTTATTGCATTCCCTAAATATTATACACTACATTGCTTGTAACATGTATCATATCATTGCACTTATTGCATTTATTTGCATCTTGTGTTATCTTGTATCATTTATCCTTTTACGTTGAGCAACGTTTAGGATCGTTGTCCCCTAGGGCTTTTCTCAGGACCTCTTCTCACGATTTCAGCGTGGTTAGAGTGCTCCCTTCCTCACACGACTTCAGTGTGTTTGGAATTTTTCTCAAGACGCGTGGAATGCGACCCTGAGCGGTTTTCTCAGGACCTCTTCTCACGATTTCAGCGTGGTTAGAGTGCTCCCTTCCTCACACGACTTCAGTGTGTTTGGAATTTTTCTCAAGACGCGTGGAATGCGACCCTGAGCGGTTTTCTCAGGACCTCTTCTCACGATTTCAGCGTGGTTAGAGTGTTCTCTTTTCCTCACACAATTTCAGCATGTTTGGAATTTTTGTCAAGACGCGTGAAACGCGACCCTAAACCATTTTCTCAGGACCTCTTCTCCCGATTTCAGCGTGTTTGGAATTTTTTTCTAGACACGTGGAATGCAACCCTGAGCGATTTTCTCAAGACCTCTTCTCACGATTTTAGCGTGGTTAGAGTGTTCCCTTTTCCTCACACGATTTCAACGTGTTTGGAATTTATGTCAGGACAGGTGGAATACAACCCTAAGCGGTTTTCTCAAGACCTCCTCTCACGATTTCAGTGTGGTTTGAGTGTCCATTTCCTCACGCGATTTCGACATGTTTGGAATTTGTTCTTCATCCTCTCACGATTCCAGCGTGGTTGGAGTATGTCACTATATTCATCTACTACATTTCCCATCGTATTCATTACATCATACTTTTTTATTACCTGCATCATTTCCATGTTAAGCATAGTTTTAGCACGTGCTCATACCTTTCCTTCGTTGAAACATGGTTCTGTCATGTATAAGTACCCATGCTGCGCTGAGGCCAATATTGAGGGTGTCAACACTTTTTCTATGTTAGACGTGGTTCATTTTGTGTCCATGCCTTTTCTAGGTAAAATGAGGTTCGACCTACACCTTTTATTCACTACATCCATTGAATCCATTACATTGTACCTTGTTTTGTTGCATTCAGTATTTAGGATCACGATCTTTCCTCAGCAAATCACTCCTTACTTATATCATCCCACCCAATTACTTGTACTCTTTCTCTTTCTACGAAAAACATAGTTTTACATGTGCTCGCACCCTTTTCATGTTGAAACATGGTTCTGTTACGTGTAAGCATCCATGTTGCACTGAGGCCAGAATTGAGGATGTAGACACTTAGCCTGTGTTAGACGTCGTTTAGTTGTGCCCACTTCTTTTCTATATAAAACATAGTTCAATTTTGCATCTCTATCCCTTTATAGTATTTGTGTGGTTTAGCACTGCTTGTGGTTTGATTATATTATTACATTGCACTGCTTATCATTTGTATTATTTCGTTATATTATGTATCATTTGCATCTTGCCCCTGAACTACGCTGGTTTGATTCCTTGCAATGGGATACATAGGCAACCCTCAGGTTTAACCAATTGCATCAGCATTTTGTTTGTTTGCCAAAGTCTTACGGCCTTGTCAAAATGGGTTGTCGGGTTTTGACATTCATTCACGTCATTTCATGACTTTGAACTCTGTCAAAGAGGGGCAACTGTAGACACCTCATTTTTGACCGCCCTTGATTACTTGATAATGGAAGATACGCTATACAAACGTTCAATTTCTTCAGCAAGAAAAGCTTCTAAATCCTAACCTTACATCCCATTTTGGACCAAAACTATTTTGACCAAAACTATTTCAGACCTTAAAACCCTCTCTTTCAAAATATTTTTGAAAATGTTTCTACGATGTTTCGAGGTTCCCATTTTGTTTAAAAAATTATACTTTTTGGTAAACCGAGTAAGGACAAAGTGGAAATAAATGGAAGAGAGGTGAACTCTTTGAAAACTATTTAAAAAGATCTTATTTAGAGGTTTGGAGTTGAAGAAAATTGGAGGAGAGGGAAGAAAATTAGTTGGGGAAGAAGTTGAGCATCAAACCGTTAAGAGATAACTAAGCAACCTTCACTAAATCAGGCCTATTTCTTTGTACACTTGGACTTTAGTTTTAAGGCCATCACCATTGGAAAGTGGACTTCTGGGGCTTCAATTTAGACTCAAGAATCTCCTAAAGCCGAGTCCGAATGAGAGAGATATGGTTGTTTGAAGTTAGGCATCAATTCGGTTAAGATAGAAATGAGCAACCTTCACTAAAATAGGCATATCTCTTTGAAAACTTAGAATTTAGATGTGAGGCTACCACCATTGGAAATTAGAATTTCAGGGTTTCAATTTAGACTCAAGAATGACCTAAAACCAAGTCCGAAAAAAAGAGATATACCCGTTTGAAGTCGGGCCTGGAGGCAAATTTTTTGTGCCCGGCAAGCTAATATTGGTGGCCAGTAGGCCACCATTTATGGCCTACAATTCACACTCCTGGCTTGCCGGCCACTGGTGAAAAACACAGATATTTTTGGCCAGTTGTACCCCAAAAGCTCCACCTGTTCCAAGCATTATATTTTCGATCTGAGGGGCTATTTTTCTATATATACCAAGTCTTCCCTCATGATTTAAGGTTGAAAAAAATTCCAAAAGTTTTAATTCTTGAAATTCTGTCTCTATCTCTATCTTGTAACACACACACCTTACCCAAATACTTTCTAAACCAATATTGGAACTCTCATTACTGAGATTATTGAGTCCAAATTTCAGCCCTTGAAAGTGAGAACTTGTTGATTTGTGAACAAAAGTGTTATTCCTCTTCAAGAGGTATAACTACTAGCTCCTTTGCACTACTTATTTTCTATCTTTTCTTGCTGATTTTGAACTATTTTTCTACTATTTTTATGGACTGAAGCTTGTGGTTTAAGGCTATTAAAGATAGAGGGGTTAATCACCCTTCTTTGAACCCTGTTCTCTAAGCCTTTACACTTGTGTTTCCCATCTCTTCCTCAATTTTTTTTGAACTTTTAAACACTGATTTTCAAAGTTATTTTAGTGGCTAAAAACATGTTTTGAAGTCCAAAATTGGAGGGGTTAGCCTCCCCTCCTTGTGTCTTGCTTACTAGCTTAACATGCTCCATGTTTTAGCTTATTATTCTAGCTTTTGTTTGCTTAATTCTAACATGTTTTAGGACTTTTTTTAAACTGTTTTAGGACTATTTTTATGAGTTAGTTTCATTTATGCTTTCTATAGCATGCTTGTAGTGTAATAGTCCTCATAGGATTGGTGGTTTAGGCCTTAGCCACCCTTTTCATATTTGTTTTCATCTCTAATCATCTCTGCAACATCCCTTATTTCTTAGCTTTTTCTTTGTTTTGAAAGTTGTTTTAAACAATTTGTTTGTTTAAGCATGAGATTGAGATATCATGCTTAATGGTTTAATCCCTTTAGGAGTTCATTACTAACGGTATGATGTCTCTTTCATGCCCAAAACAACACTTGGTTTGAGCCCACATTCCATTACAGGACTTAAACTCAGTTTTGGACTTAATTGATTAAAGAATTGAGAGGTAACTAAAATGGAGTAATAAAATTGGTGATTAAAAATGATGCAAGATAATAACTTGGTTAGGGTTCAGTCGGACGTTAATTGAACCCTTGAGTCTTGAATCGTTTCATATTTATTAGTGATGAAAACGGTTCAAGATTCATTGTCAATTACTTCTGTCACGACCCAAACCCGCCCCTATAGGTTTAGCGTCGTAACCAGCCAGTAATCTAAGATTGCCTTCGGCCTCAAAAACAAAATTTCAAAATATCTATAATCATATCGGGGCCTAAAGCGGAAGCAAACAAAAATAACAATGTCCATTGAGCTTGTGCATACATGATGACTAAAATAATTAAAACATTTAAACACAATAATAATTTGCATACAAATCTTATATATTTCACACACATATGCATTTAAGACTTAGCAAAATTCAAAGCTCTAACAAAGCTAAGGGCTGATTTTTTTGGCTCTACTCAAGCCTAACTTGCTCCATTCCGGAAGCTCTTCTAAAGGCTGACACGGGTAGACTCCGAGACTTTCTCTATCCTTGTTGCTTAGTTTGTTCACCTACATATACATATAAATAGTGAGCTAAAGCCCACCGAGTAATAACAGAATAAAGAGGTTAAATGAATGAAGTTTGACAATAATACAAAAATCTGTCTTACAATTTCGAAACGAATCTTAAATCATTTTCAAAATAAGGCATTTGCCATAATATATCAAATTTTATAACAAAACATTTTCCATATCAAATCTCTTATCGAAACATATATTTTCTTTTTCCGAGACAATCCATTTCAGTGGGAAAATCAATTCGATTAGCCATCATATCAATCCCTTGCAATAATAAAAACCATCATTCGATAGCATTTCAATACAATTCCGATTTCAATTCAATTCTCAATGATCCATGTTATCTCAATAGCAATACTCATTCAATGACAATTTACGTGGTACATCCAATAGAGTAACAATGTATCAATAACAATGGGACCTCGAGGGTCAATCAATGGGGCCACAATGGGTCAAGCAATATATCATATCCAATGTGACCATTAAAGTCTAACAGCAGAGATCTCTGTGTTTCAATTATCCAATCGGCCACAGTATTGTTTCCCCCAGGCGAGGGCCAATGGGCCATGGTATTAATTTCCCCAGGCAAAGGTCTGTTTATTAATGAGCCATGGTATTATTTTCCCCAGGCAAGGGCCTATTAAACAATGGACCATGGTATTGTATCCCCCAGGCGAGGGCCTCACTAAAGGATGCCACGAATACATTTTCAAAAGGAAACTTCATTCATTCGTAAGAGATTAAAGTTTCAATAAACCATTCGTTTCAATAAGCCATTCAATCATTCATATATCAATTTCGATAACAATAACATTTTCAAAAAAAATAAATATAACTCGAACATATCTTTATAGAGTTATTACTCACAGTGGGTTAAGTCGATAAAAGGCCTCGGACGTCCACCTATACAAATCACACAACAAAAATACAATAGAAGCACCATTCAATATTCATTTTATTTTAATTCAGCTCTCTTTATGTGTTTCTACCTTATTCCATGACTATATGAGTCCAATTGGTGCCTAAAAATACTTAGAACGTCATGAGAATGCAAATAGGCACTTAAAAGAGTTAGTCAAAAATTGATGAAAATTGGTTCCTCGCTCGAGCGCCACTTTGGTCGCTTGAGCGGACTGTAAAATTTTGCAAAACTTCTGGGAGCTCGATTTTCACGCTCGAGCGACACTCTCTTCGCTCAAGCGGACATGACGAATTCTGGAATTTCCAGAACTATGTTGGAGCTTCAAAGTTGATATTCAAAGGTCCAAAACTTGTGTTTTTGGTACATAAACTTGAAAAAACATTGTATAACATGAAAATACTTCCAAATCAAAATCATTTATTCAAAATCATGCCCCAATTGTCCAAATTTAGATTTTATTTATTTTCTTTATATCAAACTCACAAATTTTAAAATATGAATTAAAGTTTCCAAACTCTTGAAAATTTCATGATGTATGTAAAAATAGAACCCAATTTCATTATTGATAATAAAAATCAAACTTAACTAATGAATTACAAAATCAATTCCTTAGAATTTCAACTTAACTCAATCTATAATCAAAACTTAATTTATGATCATAAATGTTCCAAAATGTGTTTGAATTGAATAAAACTTTTAAATTCAATTACAAGCATGGATCAAACAAGTTCATAATTTTCATAATAAAATCAAAACTTTTTCTTACATTAGGATTAATTCCAAATTTCCATAAATTTGATTTTTTTAAAGCTTTTCCTTTCTCTCTTCAAAATATGAGAATGAATTAATCCAAATTCTTCAAAATCCATGATGCATGAATAATTAGAGTATTAAACTTGTAAAATTTATTCATGCATGTAACAATGAAGCTTAATTTCATGCAAAATCATAACATCAAACCCAAAATAATTAATTTCCATAATCAAGAACCTAGCTTAATCTCTTCATCTTTAATTCCCAATTTCTTCCAAATTATATGAAATTGAACCCAAACTCATCTTTAATTCAAGTGAAATACAAGGATTCTACAAAATTCAAACTTGAAATCCTTACCTTTAATCTTTAATTTGATAGCCTCTTGATGATCTTCCATTTTCCTTTCTTGAATCTCCTTCAAAACGCACCAGCACAAAGAAGCAAGCTCTCTCTCTCTCTCTGCTGTCCTCCCCTTCTCTCTCTCTCTCTCGGTTGTGCTCTATCCAGCACAAAATGAACACCCAAAACACCTACACTAAGTTTTTAATAATAGATAAATAAAGCCTTAATAATAAATAAATAAAGCCACTACTTCTCTTCACAATCTTTGTAGGACCTTTAAAATTTTACTCCATTTTATTTTATGATTAGGATTAGATTAATCACTAATTATCCATTAGCCTAGTTAATCACCACTTAATTTTAATTAATCTTGATCATAATTTAATTAATCATAACTAATCACAAGTCCCACATAATTTAATTAGTTTAATTGGCTTCAATTAAGGCCCAATTAATAATATATATATATATATATATATATATTTTTACCATTCTGAATCAGATTTTTAATCAAACTCTCAAAAGGCTCCAAATACTAAATTAAACTTATTGTCATCATCAAATTTTGATTTCCCAAATCATTTAGACCTTCAATTTCTAATTAGACTCAAATTTCCGTCAATAAATTACATATTCAAATTGAACACCCCATGAATAAATTTAATTCATAATAATTACAATTTTCAATCCTCATAATTTAATTAACTTAATTAACTCCAATTCGGACCTAATTAATCAAGTCTCAATTTTACCAAACCGAATCGATTATTTAATTAAACCCTCATATGGTCTGATACTCAAAATTAAAATAATTTAATTCGTCAATTTCACCTTTTTGAGCCACTTAAGCTTTTAATTTCTAATTCCGAAATAGCTCCTTTATAAAATTACATATGGATCAATGCCAATATTGTTTATCAGTCCACAATTAAATTAAAATAATAATTAATTAAAATCCAAATCACCTTGATTAATTTAAATATAAAATATTATATGTTGCAGGGTTGTCACAACTTCCCTTGATCTTTCATGATAGAGAGGTGGTTTTGAGAGTCTTATTTTGTTGCATTTATTGAACTTGCACACGTTGGTTCATAGGCCATCATGCAATGAACTTGCATAGATTGATAGTTTGTGAATCAAGTTTTATTACTCCTTTGAGCTGTTCAAATGATAAGGAGGGATAAATTATGCAACCAAACCCTTGAGAATACACTGTCTCTGCTCTGTTTGCTCTTTGTTGCAGCAGGAAAGTCCAATCATCAGTGGCCGGTAGGCCACCTTTAGTGGACGGCAGGCCCTCTGCCGGCCACCAATGCAAAATCCAGCAGTGTACTTTTAAAGCAGAACATAGTTGGTCTGGAGGTGGAAATCAGTGCAAGTGTTCTACTATGCAACAGAGGCATTTGGCAGCAGAAACAGTAGCTTTTTCGGATGAAAAGTCCATACATGCATGAGCATTCCTCATTTCCCGAGGTGAAGTAATTAGAATAGCTAGGTTAGCCCTCTTTTCATGTTGTATTCATGTGACTAATTAGTTCAATTAGTTAGTTGATTTGTTGTAATAATTAGTTAGCTAGAATAGTTAATTAATTTGGTTTGTAATAATTAGTTAAGTAGTTTAGCTAAATTATTCATTTGTTGTTGCAATAGCTAGCTAGAATGGTTAGCTTCATTTGGGTTTGTGATAGTTAATTAATTAGCTTAGCTCTAATTAGTTAGCTAGTTTATTCATTCGTACCCTCCTATGTGGGGCTGCAATGTTATAATAATGTGTATGTCTTCCTACTCCATGTCTTTCTCCCTTTTATTTACTAGCTTATAATGGTTAGTTTAGGGCATCATGTTATCTCATGTTTGCATCCACTTTTATTGCATGCACCAAGGCTCGATTAATCATTTTAACTTGCATTGTTAGTTTAACATTTTTTTGAATACGTGTTTAGACGGCATGCCTTCAAATTGATTCACATGCCATATTAATAGCCGAGCCTAGTAATTGCATATCGCATGAGTTGCATTAGTCATATTGCCTAGTTAGGATCATGCATTTTTCTAACTTTATCTCTTTTGGCTTGGAGTGCTAAGTGAGCCTTTACTCGCTTTAGCATATCGCATGTGTGTGATTGTTGACCATATCTAGCATGCTTGCCATGAGGCTGAATGCTTAATTGCTATAACTGCTTGAATGTCTGTGGATGAAGGCTAGTTGCTTGAATTGAAATAATTTGAATAATGTTCATATCGATCACTTTTTTAAGTGGTACATAGTCAAAACAAACATGAATCAAGTGTTCTAATTCTTGCAAGTTAGTCTATACTTTTGTGTGCACATCACATAGTAATGCTAGCCTAAATAAATCGGAACAAGAGCATATAATGTAGATAAGATTCATATCATGATTAGTAAAGGCCGATTTTCGATCGGGTGAGTGGGGGTGCTCAATTCATGACCTTCCCCTCTCGTACCTAAGTTCTCGAACCGAGACAATCTTGGTGATGACGGACACGTGGCCTTTGGCACGAGTCATGAGTTTCCTAAATTTTCCAAAAAATATTTAGGTTGCAACTCTGTATCTGGCAAAGCAGTCCATTTTTGGCAATTTGATTCAAAATTAATTTTCCAAAAGATTTGCCAGATTTGGACTCTTTGGTGATTATCTATTTTACATTGCACTTGTGAGATCAGATTCAGAACCGCAGTAGTCTGATACTGTAGGGCTTATTCGTCTTTTGAAATGGGCACAAAAAGTTGAGCTACAGTGACAGACGAGGAATTGAAGTTGTCTCATATCGAAGAGCTTTTACCGAAGAAGGATCGCGAGGGCCCTAATTATTGTGTTTTCCACTGATCACTAGGACATCTTACAGAAAAGTGTCGAACGCTTAAGAAGATCTTTAAAAAGAAAGTTGAAGTAGATGAGCTAAAGCTCAAAGGATAAGGGCTCTAGGATATCCTAGAAAACATGGCTATGATGGTGTATGACAGACCAATAATTAAAACAATTGAAAACTCAGAGGATGAGGAATTCCTCATTTCCCGAGGTGAAGTAATTAGAATAGCTAGGTTAGCCCTCTTTTCATGTTGTATTCATGTGACTAATTAGTTCAATTAGTTAGTTGATTTGTTGTAATAATTAGTTAGCTAGAATAGTTAATTAATTCGGTTTGTAATAATCAGTTAAGTAGTTTAGCTAAATTATTCATTTGTTGTTGCAATAGCTAGCTAGAATGGTTAGCTTCATTTGGGTTTGTGATAGTTAATTAATTAGCTTAGCTCTAATTAGTTAGCTAGTTTATTCATTCGGACCCTCCTATGTGGGGGTGCAATGTTATAATAACGTGTATGTCTTCCAACCCCACGTCTTCCTCTCTTTTATTTACTAGCTTATGATGGTTAGTTTAGGGTATCATGTTTTGTTTAGCATATCTCATGTTTGCATCCACTTGTATTGCATGCGCCAAGGCTCGATTCATCATTTTAACTTGCATTGTTAGTTTAACATTTTTTTGAATACGTGTTTAGACCGCATGTCGTCAAATTGATTCACATGCCATATTACTAGTCGAGCCTAGTAATTCCATATCGCATGTGTTGCATTAGTCATATTGCCTAGTTAGGATCATGCATTTTTCTAACTTTATCTCTTTTGGCTTGGAGTGCTAGGTGAGCCTTTACTCGTTTTAGCATATCGCATGTGTGTGATTGTTGACCATATCTAGCATGCTTGCCATGAGGCTAAATGCTTAATTGCTATAATTGCTTGAATGTCTGTGGATGAAGGCTAGTTGCTTGAATTGAAATAATTTGAATAATGTTCATAAGCGATCACTTTTTTAAGTGGTACATAGTCAAAACAAACATGAATCAAGTGTTCTAATTCTTGCAAGTTAGTCTATACTTTTGTGTGCGCATCACATAGTAATGCTAGCCTAAATAAATCAGAACAAAAGCATATAATGTAGATAAGATTCATATCATGATTAGTAGAGGCCGATTTTCGACCGGACGAGTGGGGGTGCTCAATTCATAACATTTCCCTCTCGTACCAAAGTTCTCGAACCGAGACAATCTTGGTGATACCGGACACGTGGCCTTTGGCTGGGTTTCCTAAATTTTCCAAAAAATATTTAGGTTGTGACTCTATATCTGGCAAAGCAGTCCATTTTTGGCAATTTGATTCAAAATTAATTTTCCAAAAGATTTGCCGAATTTGGACTCTTTGGGGATTATCTATTTCACATTGCACTTGTGAGATCAGATTCAAAACCGTGGAAGTCCGATACTGTAGGGCTTATTCGTCTTCTAAAAGGGGGCACAAAAAGTTGAGCTATAGTGGCAGACGAGGAATTGAAGTTGCCTCATATCGAAGAGCTTTTACCGAAGAAGGATCGCGAGGGCCCTAATTATTGTGTTTTCCACTGATCACTAGGACATCCTACAGAAAAGTATCGAACGCTTAAGAAGAACTTTAAAAAGAAAGTTGAAATAGATGAGCTAAAGCTCAAAGGATAGGGGCTCTAGAATATCCTAGAAAACATGGCTATGATGGCGTATGACAGACCAATAATTAAAACAATTGAAAACTCAGAGGATGAGGAACACTTCCTCGAAGACGCCTTTAAGCCAGAAGATGAAAAGCACTCATTCGAAGACACCTTTGAGCCAGAAGGCGAGGAAGTTTCTTATAGTGAACCTTTCAATCCAGAATGAAGACTTGGTTATGAAGCATCCTTCAATCCAAGAAGAAAACATCATGTTTGTATGCCATCCTACTTCAATGAGACTGAGGAGGTGGTCAACTATGAGCCGTCGAGGATAGAGAATGATCCAGATCACTATGCAAATACTCCCCAAGATAACATCAAGTTCAAACAGTTCTTCAATCAACTTAGGCTTTCTAGGGAAGCGAGAACTGAAATTACCAAGTCCATTATCAACATTGCCGAGGCACACCATGAGGGAGGTGTGACAGTTAAGGGATCTATTCCAAGGAAAGCAAGGGAGCAGACTAGTGCTATAATCTTTTATGAGGCAGACTGAAAATACCCTTTTTCCACACAACCGACCACTCTATGTGATCGCTTACGTCAATGAGGTTGAGCTCAAGAGGGCTTTGCTAGATAGCGAAGCTTCCATCAGTATTATGACCCGGGCAACTCTAAAGAA